ATTGTGGTTGCTAAATGACAACGATGATGATGATGATGATGATGATGATGATGATGATGATTAATTTCCTATGCAAATGCTTCAAGGGGAGTGGTTCTCACTTACTGGAATGAATTGTTCATTTTTGCTTCATAACTATTTACTTTTGTTTTTAGATGGCCAAGATGACACTCCTCAAGGCTATAAATGAATAAGACAAGTCTGAGCAGAGGAGGAGTTCTTATAATATATGTAATTAATTGTTTGATTCATTGAATTGATTGGTTTTTGTAGTTTGTAAAGCATAACGAGGCACAGTATATCTTTTGCGAAATAAAATGCATGATGCCTTGCTCTTTAAAACTGCTTGCTGTCATATTGTCTCACCATTGACAACAGGGTTTCTTCTAAACATGCAGTTTCAGAATCTATGGTTCAAATATACTGTAGTTGAGATTAACCACAGTTTGTTGGGTTTGGATTATATGACAACCTGGCATTATTTGAAGACAATCCAAAGCTGCCAGAACCTCTTCTTGTGACTGCTAGAGCAAACATGGGGAGGAACGGGCAGGTGCTACTTTCTTTATTATTTTAAAAAAAACATGGTTTATATGACATGTGAACACAGACATCAGGAAAAAAAAGCCCTTTGAAATCAGTGGGATTTCTGAATCAAATACACTAAATAGTATGGGTGGGGGGTTCTGTTTTTATTCTCACTTGCAACAATCAGTCACACATAACTGACCTTTTAGAAGTACAGTACTACTCTCATTTTTTTTTCTGCCAAGTCTCTCAGGAAATAGCCATGCCATTTGTAAACACAATCGCTTACATGTCTATACATTAACATATCCAGAAAGCATCTTGGATGAATGCCAGTTGGCAATGCCCAGAGATCAAAGAGGTTTAAATGCAGACTGTGTCTACTGTCATTTTTTTTTTCTGGCATCCTGTAGCTGATCTCTGGCATGTGTCCATGCCAGCATGGCCTGTACATAATACCTATTCTTGTGGACAGTATCCCAAAACAAGAATTTAAACTTGATGTCACTTGTACAAAAGCAGCACTTGAAATTAATTAAATGAACTACTCTACAGTTATCAAATACTGTAGATCGAACTGAAGGTTAAGTAGGGAGTACTCAATTCAGATAAACTGAGAATATTCATGATACAAAAGTTCATAGGACTTATGTCTGTACTAGATATATTTATATTCTCTAAGTACAATTCATGGTCATTATGGCTTATTATCTGAAGTATTCTTATCTGAATCCTTGAGAGCCAGTCTGGTCTAGTGGTTAAGGCACCAGGCTAGAAATCAGGAGACCATGAGTTCTAGTCCCACTTTAGCCATAAAGCCAGCTGGGTGACCTTGGTTCAGTCACTCTCTCTCAGACCTAGGAAAAAAAAAATCCCCTCTCACTCTTATGGGTGGTATGATTCCTCCTCAATCTTGGGTCCCCTACCAGAGCCCTGGGAGTTTGAGGGTTCTGCACAGTATCTCAGCTGTTCCTAGCACTGCACTCTTCTGGACAGAACGCTCTGATGTTGTTCCTGGGATCTGCTGGAGCCACTCTCCCAGGTTAGGAGTCACAGCCCCATGTGCTCCTACCATCACTGGGACCACTTTGGCCTTTACTTTCCACATCCTGTCTAGTTCCTCCTTCAGGCCTTGGTACTTCTCCAGCTTCTCATAAACATTCTTCCTGATGTTGCTTGTCACTTGGCATCGCTACATCCATCACCACTGCTGTCTTCTGGTCCTTGTCTACTACCACGATGTCTGGTTGATTGGCCAGTACCTGGAAAAAAATATATATATTTATTAAAATATAATATTTATTATAATATAAAAATATAAAAATAAATTTCTTACCTATCTATAGTACATATTTTGTGCTATTTTTCCATGAAACTTTGTGGAAATATCTATTTATTTTATTCAGGATCTCCAGTATAACCTTCAGGATCAACTCAATTTTTTGTTGTTGTTTTTATCACTTTTGTTTTAATTGTCCTTGTACTTCAGGCCAAATTAATTTTTTTTATATTGAAATGCCACCCTAATTATGTAATGCACAGTAGGTCTTTGGTTTGGTTTAATTATAACTAGTTCATTTTCAATTAGTTTACATATTTAAGATGCCTTTATAATTTAACATTTACATTGTAAGCTGCCATGGAAGGCCAGGGTCTTAATAGGTAGCTAGGGGCACCTCTAAGTACCCCAATTTTCAGTTCCAATTTTTTTCAAAAACCGTTTGAAACCAACCCACCCTCAGTCATTTAAACAGTTCTCAAGTGCTGGAGAGTAAATGCCATAAATCAGCCATTGCTCCCTCCATCTAACTTGGAGATCGCTAAAAACAGCATTCAGTTAATGTTCTGCTTCTACCCCGTCTTTATTTCATGTTGCGTGCATTTGCCTGGTATTTTCTCAAAAGAAAGGAGTGGCAGGAATGGGAAGGGACTGCCAAGGCATCATCTGTTTGTTGCATGTTAAAGAGTGGGGAGATAATGTCTTAGCACGAAAGATTGTCTGATTTTCTATGGCTTTAGTGCATAACCTTTGGTAACCAAGAGGTGCACTAATATTGGGGGGGGGACAGATATGCAAAGTGGGCAAGGCTATCACAGAAGTGGGTTTGGGGAGAAATTGGGAGGGTCTATCAGCCCTTTGAGGTTGTCCAGACAGGAAACCCAAACCGTGAGTACCAATACTGCCTTTATTGTAAGGTTACTGTAAAGAATCTTGTAAAACTGAAAACCCTTACCCTCTCCACTGCCTTTATGTTCCAGAGAGCTAGAGAGGGTCCTGTCTGAGGCACTTTCTCCATCTCCAGTCCTGCTTTGGACTCAGATTTCTCTTATCAGACCATTGTCTAGGCTGTGGCTCTTCCTCCTGTCTCCCAAGGTTATTCTCCCATCCCATTACATGGTCTTTGTTTTTAACTGTAATATGCTAGCTTTCATCTGTCCCCCATCTCAAAGGGCGGGAAATCAGTACCATCAGTTTTCAGCTGTCATGATCCAAATGGACGCCATGGGACTGAAAAGAAGATTCAGTGGGCTGCATGCTGTCCTGAGTATAAAATGCTCACTCCAGTCCTACATCAGGAACAAAGGAACTGTGAAATTCCCCTTAGAAAGAGTTCCGTGTGCTTTTGCAGGATGCAATCAAATCTTCACAAGGATGCTACTAGTTGCTAAAGTCTGCAGCTCGTATCAAAGATACGATAATTCACGCAT